TCAGTGTTGGCTTGAATGTTCATGTAGTTTGTGTACTGAACAATCCCAGTGGATGCTATTTACATTCTGGACCATATAGATACACCTGGAGTTGCATCATGCACAATATACAACTGTATGTAGCAGCCCTGATTGGGTTCTTGGGACTCATAGAAAATACTTCCAGAAACTATTTTAGAGATATACTGGGATATTTTCTATAGCATGTCCTTGACATCTAGGATAATTTACAAATTAGGATGAACCCTAAGAAACTGCCAATATGTAACAGATTTTTACTTATGTAATTGTCTATTTCAAAAAATTCAACCCAATAAATATAGCTGTAAAATAGGAGAAGATGTTGAAAGTTAAGAATTGGCCAAACTGCCATTGCCTTTTAAGGTTTCTTCAGTAGCGGAACAGCCATTGTCAATAGAATATGCTGTGATACGTCAGCCTTGGTGCCCATCTGCCAAACTGGCTGAATGGCTCATGGAGAGTCAAAGAAAGCCAAAACTGGTGTAAGACGGGGACGAAGGTGTCCTTCAATCACTGGAGTCCAGCAAAAGATGGCTTGCCTCTAAACACATTACAGTGAAGTAAAATTTAGGAGAGAAAACATACAAGTAATCAATGAGGTTAAAAAGAAGTCAAGGAAACTCTCAGACTCTTCCAGGAATATGAGGGAATGTCCAATTAATGGTATCATTCTTGAATGGGGGAGAAACATTTGTAATTGTAATGAAAAAAATATATCTAAGAGGCACCATTTTCTCTCATGAAAAAAAGCATCTCAAGGTGGGGATGTAGCTCAGTGGCAGATCAGTTCCCTGGCATAATGAAGTCCTCAGTTCAATCCCAAGTACCACCAAATAAAAAGAAAAAAAAAAAGGCACATCTAACTATAACTGTAAGGCTGATAGCTTTTCTTTCACAGATCTACAGACAATGTTTGTAATATGATGGTCTGTTAACATCAGGGAGTTACACACCTTCCCATAAATGTTTCCATTTCTAAAAGATTTCACATATAGCTGATGGTCCAGACAGAAATAGGATATGCAAGACAGAAACAGCCTATTTTTAGCTGAAGTAAACATCTCTAGTTATTGTCTGCCAAGAGCCCACTTCCCCTTCTGGGCACCAGGACTCTCATTTCCTTTGAGAAATTTTGCCTCCCTCCCTTTCCACCATGTTCTTCAGACGTCACTGATTCTTCCTGAGATCAGGGATAAGAGGTGGGAAAGAGGGGAAGAGAACAATAGGACAAACTGCATGGAGAATTTTGCCCCCAGCACTCAAACAAAAGATCACTAATGACCTCCACTGTGATAATGCCATGGTCAATTATCGGTTTCATTTTATTTGACATCTGAGCAACACAGACCCAGCTCACCACTTCCTCTTTCTGAAACACCTTATTTGGCTTCCCAGGACTACATCCTCTTCTACTTTATCCCCTTTCTCCATCCCAATTCTGAAAGTCATTAAGCTACCAGAGAGCAGGAATGGATATGCTACAACAAGAGAAATACACCACCTATTCTTGTTCTCTTTTTCGCCATTTGTGCACTTGGCACTTTGAGTCTCAAAACACACTCTTCCTGCAGTAGTAACGAGGTTCAGACTCTCTCATTTTCTTTGTCATACCTTTATCAACATTCCTTCTGAGTCTCTTTCGCCTTTATTAATATTGGTGTTTCCCTGGGTCCCATTTTTTAATTCTTTTGAATTGTCTTCCACTTATTCTCCTCTATTTTCATTCCTTATAATTCTATTGAATTTCTTCATGCCTATACCCTCAACCACCTACTCCATCCAATTCCACCTCCCATTATCTTTTGATTTGGGGCAGTCCTCTCCAATCTCTAGAACCAAATTTCCAGCAAACATCAGAATACCTCTGCTTTGGATAACATCTGACAGACATCTCAGATTTAGCATTCCCAAGTTTGTTTTCTCCTTCTTCCTCTGCCAAATCTACTCTTCCTCTCCCATTCTCAGCCTTGTTCATAAATACATATTGACCCAGTCATTCAAGTCATATTTGGGATACATCTTGGGATATGTCTCCTCTTACTTCCCAATAAATCACCTAGCCCTTTACCTCACACACCACCTCAGAAATACTGTCAAAAAAAGGAAAGAAATACTATCTAAATTGAGCCCTTCCCACCCACCCCCCATCAGTGCCTAGTAGGTCCCTATCATCTTTCTCCTACTGCAGTAACACAGAAACCAAATAAAATCCCACCTCCATTGCTCACTAAATGGTTAACTCATTCTTAGACTACTGCCCTGAGTAACCTCACAGAACCAATTCTATGACCACTGAATATGACAATATTATAAGTAAAAATACTTTATCATACTTTCTCACATCCTTATGAAAATCTATTTGTGTACTCCCAAAAATATTTACCCCAAAATAAAGTAACAAAACATTAGAATTAAGAAATCCCAGTAATGGCCAACATCCCCTCTTCTGAGACAAAGCAGCATGTCCAGCGACAAGTAAACTGATGCCTTAGTTGGCCTTTCAACATTCCCAAACTTAGGGGCTGGGGATTTAGCTCAGCGGCAAAAGCACCTGCCTGGCAAGCGCAAGGTCGTGAGTTCAGTTTCCAGTACCGGAGAAAAACCAAAAAAAAAAAAAAAAAACATTCCCAAACTTGGGAACAATAAAAACAGCACACTGTGATGGGAGGGGTATGGGAAACTTTGGGAAACCCCAGGTTTGTTTTGTTTTGTTTATGTCTCTGTGAACTGGCAGCTTGTGTCTACCATGAATATAAAGAGAGTTGAAAACAAATCTCCAACAAAGGCACAGCTAAGCAGTGGAGCAAGAGCTCATTTCCTGGTTCTAAAGAGATTTTAGATTTTTGCAAAAGCAAGGAAATGGGTGCAGAGAAGGGTACTTCCTGAATGTCCATAGGCCTCTGAATGCCCTAACGCCTCTGAACAAATTCTAACAGCTCTAGTCCCTCTATCCTCTGATGCCATCTCTAACACTGACCTGGATGAACCTCTCCTTGATCTTTAAAACCTTTTTAGAACAAGGTGAAAAATACATACATTCATTTGTACACACACTGTACAAAAGCAATCTCTTTTCTTTCAGTAAGTTCTTAGATTTAAAAATGTCACAAAAGTAGAAAAATGGGGGCGCTCCAAAATACATCGGCTGCAGGAAAGACAGGGAAGTCTGTTTCTTTAACTAAAGACAAGGGGATGTTTCTATGAGAAGAGAACTAAGATAAGAGATTTCAAAAACACTAGCTGAATGACAGTTTATACTGGAAGTCATTAAGGAAAATTGAATGAGTGATGTAGAAGAAAGTAATTTCAAATTGCAATGAAAAATAAGTGAAGGAAAGGAAAGGAAGAAAATGGAAGAAAGAAATATGAAATTCAGAGGTGAAAATTCAAATAATAGATCCTTGAAGAAGAAAAAATCTCAAATGCAGGAGCTCTGAATAAAGTTACAACAGGAGAAATCATCCTTTCTTTTAAAAAACTTCAGTTCTGAAAATAAGGCTTACCACATTTCAGGCAAAAATCTATGATGGGAAGTCTATTTCTCAGTTGGCTTACTGCTAAAATTGCAAATTTGAGGAATAGTGAACCAAAACCATTCCAGCTGAAAATCAGCTGTCTTCAACTTTTTTATAGCATTAAATTTCCCAAGACAACAGAGGAATATTTCCCATGATTTAACAGAGAAGATTTTCCATGTTTACAACAAGCTGTCACTCTTCCACCACACACTGATGCCCTTTCTGAGAAGTTACTTTACTATGATCATTATGAACTAAGACCTCTTTTTTTATATATATGATTTAAAATTTTTTCTCCAATTGTGTGAATTAGCTTTTTATTTTCTTGATGATGTTGTTTGTAGCACATTGGTAGAACACACGTCCGTTTGTGTCTGGGTGGATGGACACATGACCTTGGGTACTATATCTGGTCTTTCATCTTTTTCTCTATGGCGCTATATCCCTGCTCTGCTTCTGGCCAACATGAACTAAGTAGCTTTGCTCTACTGCCATGATCTTTCTGCTTTGAAACCTGTGAATCGTGAACTGAATCTCATAAACTATGAGCCAAATTAAAGCTCTTCTTTAAGTTGTGGGTGTTGGGTGTTGTATTACAGTGACGAAAAAGCTAATATAGAAAATTAGTACCAAAAGTAGGGTCACTGTTGTGACTGTACCTGGCCATGGGTTTTAAAGGCTTTTGAAACTGGTTTGCAGGAAGAATTTGGAAAGATTTGGAGATGTGGGGTAGAGAAGACTTAGAACAGTGGAAGTAGAGCTTTATGGGTAACTCTGGTTGGAGTGCAGAAGATCAGAATGCTGATATAAATGCAGCAGTAAAAGCCAAGCTCGGGAGGTTTCAGTTGAGAACAGTGCTCCATTGGCAACTGGACTACAGGCCATGTGTATTACACTCTGGCAAAAAAAAAAAAAAAAAAAAAAAAAGCTACATTTGCCCATGTCCTGAGACTGTGTGAGACTGAAATTAGGGGTGGTGAACTAATTAGTAGGGAAAGAGAAATTTCAGTGGATTTCTGTGCTCTGCCATACAGGCACTCAGAAATTATTGCTACTATGGTCCAAGGGTACTTAGCTACTTCCCCTGAGAGGGTAACGTGTGAAAAGCTGTAGGAAAAAAGCCAAAGGTTCAGTGAAGACCCCAGAAAGTTAGAGATGCCAGGAGCATGGTATATCTGCTAAGAAAAACTGCAGACTGTGAGCACAGCCAGCTTAAGAGAGAGGTGATGTGGGCTGGAACCCACAGAACCATAGGGATGGGGCTGCCCAAGTCTTCTGGAACACACATATCACAGCCAGTTTTCTGGATGCCAGACATAAAGCTCAGGACTAAATATTTGCCCTGCTGGACTTACATCTTATTTTGGTCCAGTTCTTCTGTATACTTCCATTGCTCCATTTTGGAATGAAAATGTTTACCCTGTACCTTGGGATTATGTAACTTGTGTTTGATTTTTACAGAAGTTCACAGCAAAGAGTTTCCCTCAAGTCAGAAGAGATTGAACATGGACTTCTGAAAAATACTGGATTGTTGAAACTTTTGTGAAGAGATTACTACATTTCCAGTTGTATGCAAGACATTTGTATCATGTGAGGAGTTCTTAACTTATGTTTATTTGTAGAGTAAGTATGGTTTAAGGAGATTTGTTTAGGTGTCAAGTTGACAAGGGGTATGATGTGATGGTTAAGCTTGATTGTATGTTTGGGAACCACCCAGAGAATTAGTAGAACACATGTCTGCATATGTTTGAGTGGATCATGAAGGTAGACCTTGGGTACTATATCTAGTCTCTCATCCCCTCCTCTCTGGCACTGTTCCTCTGCTCTGTTTCCCAGCTAACTATGGCCTGAGTCCCCTGACCATAAACCAAATTAAACTTCTCCTCTAAGAAAAAGAGAGACAGACAGACAGAGACAGAGACACAGAGAGAGAACGAGAGCTATGAAAAAGCTTTTACGATTATTTCTAAGCACACCAAAATAAAGCAAGAAAAAGGAGGTAGAGAACAAATGGTATCAAGAACAAATGCATCAGTAATATTTTATGGAGTTTAAATTAAAAGATATGAGTCTAATCTATTAATTTTCTTTTTACCCATTCTTGTTCACTGTAAACTTTAGGAGTTCTCCCTTCTCTGATTTTGCAGTGCAATATCTAAAACATTATTTTGCTGATGACATATTTCTCCAGATATATTTCTGTGCATAAGCCTTAGCAATACCACTATGACTTAATGGTTCAGAAATTTTGGCTCCCATTTTAGCTCCTAAATCCTGCCAACCAGGCCCACTTCCTGGTTCTGGTCTCCTAGAATTTACCATGGTTATTTGGGAGGGAAAGGCTTAATAGCCTGCACTTATATCCATTCCATACTACCTAAAGTTAGGTAGCCACACAAGGCCCAGCTCCTTAAAATGTAATCTGAGAATGTTACTTCATGTTCCTTTATCTTTCCTAAAACTTTACTGAGTTACTTCTTCTCTGCATCAATTTGCCTTACTTTCATATTCTCAATTCACCATTGCCTACTCCTTTTTTAATAAGCCACAATAAAAAAATAGTATCTTTTTTCCTCTAGAACTTAAAATTCTCATAGTTATCAATAAAGTATACAAAAGTGAAAACATGTACATTATAATTTCACACTGCAGAAAATTATACCTGGGACAGATTACAACTAATTGAAAAGGACTGAATTTATTAATAGATATCCAACTTATATTTTAACAATACATCTTATTCACAAGTATTTACATAAGATTTATAAAAATTGGCCATATACTTAGTTATAAGGAAACTATAAAACTGTATTTGTCTGCCATTACGAAATAAAATAATGTTCTAAACAAAAATAAAAATTATTTAAAACTTTAACAATTATTTTTATGTGTTAAAGAGAAAGTAAAACTGTAATATCAAGTTACTTAGAAAACTACACAACTGCACATAAAAATGAACCAGAGTCACTCATAGTTGTACTTCTCTTTACATAACACTAGGACCAGATTCAGAAAAACTACTACACCTATGGCAGGAAAAGTTGAGTATGTTATATACAATGAAGCACTCACATAGATTAATTCTAGACAAAGGGTGTAAACAATATGCAAAAGATGAGATATGCTATGTGGAAAATATCAAATTTATAGTCATTAAAGAAGTACAAGGTAAAATAATATAAAAATGGAGAAGCTGTTTTAAAGATCACCAAAGCTGTCAAGGATGTTGTAAAACATGAACTGCTGTGGAGCATGAAGGGTCCACCCTTCAGGAATGCAACTTGGCAACGGTGATCAAGAACTTTAGAAAATATTTACAAGTTCTAAACAAATAATTCTTCTGGGATTCTGTCCTCACACTGCACCCCTACATTTAGAAAACGTTCCTGCACAAAAATATTTACTAGAAATGGAAAAATCCTAAATGTGTGATAACAGGGGAATAATTAAATCAATAATATATCAGTAAAAGTTATGCTAACAAAGACTGTGCTACAGAATGGTAAAAAAAAAAAAAAAAAAAAAAAAAACCTCATGATTCATTGCTACTGCAGAGTAAGGCTTTCAAACTACATATACCTAATAATCATGATGCCATCTCATAATTCTTCAAGATCCTACTCAGCTAAGTGCTAAACGAGAGAAATAACTCAGTCACAGTAAAAAGGGATTTCAAAGAAATACATCAAAATAAGATGAGGGATTTTTTTTCTTTAATCTATATTATCATGTTTTCTTTAGTGGGCATATGTATTACCTACACCCTCATAGACATAAAAATATTGTTCACATTCTCCCTATGAATTAAAAGAAAACACCTCTATTCTTTCTAAATAAGACGGATTTCTTGAATATGGACTGCAAAAGTAATCCTTTAAATCCTTTAGCATATCTTTGTACCTTCTCCTTAATCATACCTCAAGTGATTGCTCACTGATTTGGCTTTGAAATGTCATTATCATTTATTAGTCACTAGCTTTTATTTCAAGCATTATGTTTGTCTCCTTTAACAAAGCATTTTTGTATACATCAAAATCTCTCACATGAAAAACACAAAATTAAATTTTAGAAAAGGAAATGCTACTTTATATCCAGCATGTACTGTCATTATTCCTGGGTCTCTGAAGTCACTCTGATATTGTAGCACAAGAACTGCAAGTTGCATGCTTGTAAGACAGTCTCCTCCCTGGCTTTTTTGTCCAACAACTTGTTTTCTCCTCATAACCCCCTCAATTTTCCAAATCTAAAAAAAATTCAGCAGTCCTCTCTACATCCACTTTCTTAACTTGGTACCAAGTGCAGACAATGGCCCAGGCACTCTGCTCCTAATCCTACAGCCCTGAGTACCTATACTCCAACACCCAGCCCATGGTTCTGAGGCAGCAACATATTCTGGTGCAATATTTCTCATGCTGGAGGAAGAGAACAAAAAAAAATTTAGGAAACCTCGGAGCCATGGAGAAAGGGTGGAAATATTTAGGAAATTCATCACAAGGCCATTTCGTTTAACAATAGGTTGTGTGCTACAGATTCAGAGTTGTTTCTAAGATATGGCAAATTGAGGACCTCAAGTTCCCGTTTGCTGAATGAACAACAAGTTAGACTTCCTAATGTTCTGCAGTGGCATAACTGATTAGTGACTCAAAGTGTTAGCTATGTGAAGGGTTGGGGAAGGGGAGGCCTTGGTCAATTGGTAGCAAAATAAGACCTGAGAGTAAGGCATGCAATGACTCTATTGCTAACCCAAGTGCAGCATGTTGGAGGTCAGCATTATCATCACCTGGTAGAAATGCAAAATCTCAACCCTATCCCAGAGTTTGTGAATTAGAATCTGCATTTTTAAGAAGCCCTCCAAAGATACACACACATTCAAATTTGAGAAACACTGCCTCTGAAACACACACACACACACACACACACACACACACACACACACACACCAAAACAAAGCTAAAGCTTCCACTCCTCTGCACTTCCATCACAACTCAAAAATGTTTGATGATTCTTCACTACAGGGGCTGGCCTTGATTTTGGCTTCCCTCCAAAACATTTCAAAGTACAAACTCTGTACAAGCCTGATTTTCCCAAGGTCTCTTCTTCATTCTGCGTAGGCTGAGCCTCACACATCTAAACAATAGTATGTGGATTAAACAGTACTGCCCTTGGGCACCATTACTGGTTACAGACAGTGGAAAAGCAACCAAAAAAGACAATACAAGGGCAAAAACACTCTGAAAATGTGGTTTAGCAATGCCAATCACAATTATTTCTAAAAACTGTTTTCTAGATGTACTTTATTACCATGCAAGAAAATCATGGTTGAGACAATAATTGATTATTGTATTAGACAATACAGTTGACCATTTTGTAAAAGTGCATTTGATTACATAACTGGTAATCCCAAATTCACAGTCAAGGCTAAACTCTGGACTTCTGCCTTCATAACCCCAGGAGGGACATGTAATGTGTTACCTGTCAGAACTTGGAAAAGGGAAGGAGATTTTTAATCTTAAATCTATTTTGTACATTTAATAAAAGAAAGAAAAGTTTTTAAAGCTTTGCTAGAGTGGGAAAGAAGCTTGTTTGGGGCACAAAGCAACACTCATCTTTCTAGGTCCAAGTTTCATGCATTGAAGTTTTCCCAGTCATCACTCCCAATTTTGTTTCTCAGGACACTTTCTTTATACTTCTATTATGACTCGCAGGTAGGTGAAACTTATTTGTTGGGACCCAAGCTTTATAGCCTAAGCACTTAGGATAAACTTTCCCACTTGTCCATTACTAGCTATATGACCTTGGCTAAGTGACCTCCTTCTACACTGTAAAATGCAGAAACTACTATCACATAGTTGTTGTGAATGTTACATGAGACAACACAAAACATTACAGTGTCTGGCACATAATAAATAATCACTGTTAGCTATTATTATTGGCACCTCACAGAGACTGGCTTTGATTAGAGTTGGTTATGTGTATGTCTCTCCAGCCCACTGCACTGTGAGCAAACTGTTTGTAGCCCAAGGATCTGGCATACAGACTTATAAATGGTAGACATACAATGGTATTTGTCAAACTGGTCTGAAGGTGTGCCAGGAAGCGGAAAGGGAGGGTGCTGGAAACAAACTTAATGTACTTTATGATTTTACTCAGGGTCAACCTTTGCTGTGTTTGTTTTTCTTTCACTGCCAAAGTACACTGTCTCAGACAGCAAGGTTGCTATAAAGTGTGGCTATTTACAGAACTAGATGTTCTGTTCAGAGATAGCAGAATTATGCTATGAAGCATCCAAAATCTCCACTTTGCCCCCAGCTGAGTGGGGAATAGAGGCTAACTTTCAACCAGAGCTACTGATTAAACTAGGCACCCTGGTATGGAGTCACATCACCAATTAAGATCATCTACTTATCAGGATATGGTGCGGCAATCCTGTAATCCCAGCCATCTGGGAGGCTGATGCAACAGAAAAGCAAATTCAAGGCCAGCCTTTGTGAATTAGTGAGATGTTGTCTCAAAAATAAAAGTTTTAAAAAGGGCTGGGGACATAGCTTAGCGTTTTCTGGGTTCAGCTTCCCTTTCTGGGAGAAAAAAGACCATCCATAAAGGGATACATTGTGTTTTTCAGTATATCCAACTGTGAATGTCTTCAGATTGTAAGAGTTTTATACACCATAAGGGAGGAAACCCTCCTGTAAACTCAAACATCCTTTTACTTTGCTTTTTTTTTTTACTGTACTGGGGATTAAACCCAGGGTATCACACATGCCAGGTAAGTGTTCTACCGATGAGCTACATTCCCAACTGTCTGTCTATCCATCTGTTTGTTTGTTTTTGAGGCAGTATCTCATTAACTTGCCCAGGCTGGCCTCAAACTTGTGATCTTTCTGCCTCAGCCTTCTGAGTAGCTGAATTACAGGTATGTGCCACCATGCCCAACTCAAATGTCCGTCTTTAAACCAGCTTCCTGACTCTTGAATGAACATTTCTAAAATAATGACACTTTAGCTTACTAGATACTTATTGAATGGCCATTAAAGATCTGAAGGTGCTAGTGGCTGGCAGGGACCTTCTGTCTTTGCATAAATGTTCACCACTCTCAGGAAGCTCAGCATTATCTCTGAAATGGACACTAACTTTGAGAACCTGTCCTGGGGGCTGGTGAGTGTGACTAGTAATCATGCTAATTCACAGGACTTGTTGTGGACCTTGTGAAGAAGTTTGTAGAGCTTCCACTCTGACCACTCATCACTAAACTAATATGAAGCTCCTCCCGAACCAGTATTCAGTATCTGCCTACTTCCTGGATGGCTTTTGGGACTAGGCCCTCAAGGACTACTATGTGAGTACCCCTCTCCCCGAGAAGCTGCCTCCTGTGCCTCTGTCATGGCTGAGGCATCTTTCCCACTAGCCTTTGCACACTGACAATAAAACTGCCCTGAGTTTGGAAACTGAAAAGCAAACGCACAAGGCATGTACATCCAAAGACACAAAGGAGTTATAACCAGGGAGGAGGAAAGTTGATACAGTGAGCAGGCATGTAGATAAGGATGACGAGCGCTACTTTAGGCATAAAGGGTAATTACGCAGTGGAGACATTCAGGAGAGGTCCTAACCCAGGTTCAAAGGGTTGGAGAAGGCTTAAAGAGGAAAATAATGCTGAAGGTGAAGCTTGAAGGAGCAACAGCTAAGATTTATTCACCACACTACAAATGGAGTCCATTCTAAGGACCTTAATCAGTCTTTACACAACCCTGCAGAGAAGGACATTCTACAGTTTACCTATATGGGACTTTGAGCCTGACCAAGCCATATGATTGCTTGTTCTGGAGGAAGTCTAACAAAACCATCAGTGTAAAAGGAAATGAAAGCAGGACCTTAGTCCCTGTGGAAAGCTGATGAGACAGCATTAGATGCTTTGCTGAGATCTGCCCAAAGGAATGATGACATCATGGCTAGCTAAGCAGAGTTTAGTTCCTCAGATAATTAAACTGTATCGCCCTCACTAATCCTGCTAATGATTCCTCCCATTTCCCCTGTTCTTGCTTTTTGTGAAAAATCCTAATAAAAGGCTACTAAATATTATAATTGAGGCTTTGGTCCTAGAGGCTATTAGCCCCCTGGTCCCATAACTTTATCTCTCTTGTTTTTCTTTTCATCTGCTGCACCTTGTTCTCGGGACCTGTCACCCCAGACAGAAACTGACATTTTACCAACACAGCCCTATTATTATTCTCTTCATTTTAGAGATAAGGAGATTGAGGCACACAATAAATGATGGAACCAGGCTTCAAACTCAAACAGGCTGGCTCCAGAGTAAAGGGGAAGAAGAGGACCACGCAGTCATTCAAGGCCTTGCCGTATAGTCTGAGAGACAGGAAAGGAACAATTCTCTTGGGGAACTGAAAGTGGCTTAGTGAAGACTAGCTGGGGGTGGGAACACAAGTTCAGAGATGACCAGGCTTGTGGTGCAGGTTAGAAGAGAAACTAGAAGCAGAGGATTTCTGGGCTGGTTTAGACTTTCAACAGTCAGTTGTTGATTCTTATCACCTAACCGCTACCAGCCTCAATTTCTCCCTTTTGTAAAAGACCATAATAGTAGTATCTGCTTCTCTAGCACATAAAGAATGGTCACGAATAACAAATGAGAAAAATATATGTGAACTTGATTGCAAAGTACAAGTTCCTTCACAGATTTGGGCTTTCATCTGTATTATTTCCCCCAGAGCTTCAGGGTTTTGATTACTCAGGGACAGTCCTCTGAGAAGAGCAACGGGATGCTGGAATAGAAACACCCTCAGAAACACCTACATGAGTCTGCCTTTGAAGACCACTTCCTGGTAAGTTATACTTTCAGAACCTCAACTTTGTCATCTGGAAAATGGGGATGATGACCATAAGTAGCATTTATCTCAAAAAGTCTATCTGAGGAATAAATACCACATATAAGAAGCTTGGAACAGTCCCCAGCAGAGAACAAACACTTGGTAAACCTCAACAGCTATATTATTATAATTAGTAAGAAGTTCTGTTAGTTATTCATTCTATTCTTCCATGTTCTATGTGATAAAAATGTGTGGCGATATTCAAAGTCAGAGATAATGAAGGTTTGTGTTTGTGAGAGTTAGTTCTACATTCCCTCACTGTTAGAGATTATTCCTGGAACTCAAAGACTGGCAAGCTACTAGTTCTCCGCCCTGGCAGAAAATGCCCAAAAGAGGTAAAAGACAGACACTATATACCATCTGTGCAAAACAGACTGCTCTAGTAGCTTTCAGGCAAAATCTAAATGCAGTTGCTCAGATATGACCTGCTTTTTAAAAATAGAACTCTTCTTATTCTCCCTGCCCCACACCCCCGCCCCTCACCTTGATATTCGCGCTCCCCCACACATCTCAAGAAACTTTCAGCCTTTTGCAAGACACTCCCGGATCCTGTTGTGACAGCCTCTTGCTACATTACCTTGTCAGACTAACTCTGGTAGAGAAGGCTTTGCTAATTTCACAATAGGAAAGTATGCAGGAAATTTGAGAACAAAACAAATCTACACAGAGAAACCAGTATCATCCAGCAAACACGCTGAGGTACAGACCCGTCCTGAGGCTAGATGACTCGGACTGAAGATGAAGCAGCTGCCTCTTCGACTGACAGGGACTACAAATGTTATTTGCCTCTAAAAACCAGATCTGCATACAAATGGATTATGAATATTCACAAGCTCCTCCAGCTGGCTCAAGAGGCACCCTTGACTACAGTTCTGAGCTCTGTTTCCTAAAAAGTTTCCCAAAGTTCCTTCTCTGCCTCCTCGGAGGAAAGACGGTGGAAACAATAATTCAGGGCTTTCTGCATCTTGCTCTTTCAAGAACTTGCTTTTAGTATGAGCTTTTCTCTTCTCATCTCTGTCTCCCTCCCTCCCTCCCTCTCTCCTTAAGGATTCGGATCAAATCCTTTTGGTCTTACCCTTTGTACCTTCCATGAGTAGCAGCTTTTGTTTTCTTCCTCCTTCCTCGTTTTGGTTTTTTTTGGTGTGTGTTTTGTTTTACAGCCTTTGCTTGCTGTGGTCGGTCACAGTGAGAGAGGTACTCAGGATCAGAGATATAACAGACCCTTGGGCTTGTGGGAGGGGCTAAATTAGCCAACCCAGTTTTGGAAGGAACCTCAAACCCTATCTTTTTTTTTTTATTGACTAGAAAGGACAGATTCGCTGAGGAGTCCAGCAGCTCATTTCCCTAAATTTACTCAAAGGATTCCCCCGGGTTATAAATTTTTTCTATTCTTGAAACACTGTGTTTTCTCTCTCTCTCCCTCTCTCTCTCTCTCTCTCTCTCTCTCTCTCTCTCTCTCTCTCTCCTTTCCTCTTTCTACATCTCTCCTCTGCTCTACTACAGAAATCCATTTTTTTCCTTTGAGAAAGTCATATTGAAAGAAAGGAGGTCATAAGAAAAAAAAACAGAAGAAAGAAAAAGATGTTTATATACTGCAATTATGAAAGCCAGATAGTAAGGGACTAGTTACTTTGATGCCCACTGGAAAGCCTGTGAAAGGCAAGAACAGTTAGTTCTTCCTCCATAAAGCCAATCACTTCTGGTCCTATGATTGTGGTAAGGACATCTTTTCAAGGCTCATGACAGCAGAAGAGCAAGGAAAAGCAAGAAGGACCAAAGCAGCAGGTGAGCTGGAGGAGAAGCTGGTATTGGGTGGAAGGTGCTCAGACCACAGAGGAAGCTGCTCACTGGGAACCTGTCTAGCTATGAATTGATGGAAATTGTCTACCTTTTTCAACCTTTGACTTCCTACCTCCAAAAACCTATAAGCATTGCCACATCCAGACTTTGCAAGATGACCCTAATGCAAATAAGGAACTAACCAAATTATTTTTAAAATGGGTATGCAAAATCAGTTTGAAATCAAGTCAAGGGTTAATCCTCAGAGAGGGAAGTAAGTCTTCAAGTCTCAAAGTCACTAGAGCAGGTTCTCTCTCAACAAACCTGTTTACAAGCCTTAGTTAGCATTTGAGATTTGAAAAAAACCTCAGACTTCTAGTCTAACCCAAGGTTAGTGAGGTGAACTTGAACCACCTGTTTCAATTCATACAGAGAGCAGGGAGCTGGTCTCTTATTTGCACTCTGCTCCTCAGCACCAGTACAGTTTCTGCCACAGTGTGGACATTCAGTTAAGAATAAACTCTACTTGGGGCTGGCCCCTAGCTGTGCAGGCACCCGGGAGGTGGGCAGCCTGCTCCTGGGAAGCTGCGTGGCAGGGAGCGTCAGCCTTTGCGCCGGCCCCTAGCCACGCAGGCACCTAGAAGGCGGGCAGCCGGCATCTGGGAAGCCTCATGGCGGCATGCACTGGCATGCGCCAGCCCTCACACCAGCTACCACCTTGCAGTCGAGAACCATCATGGGACAGAGAAGCAATGACACAATTGGCCTGCCACCTGCCGGCTGCAGAGGCCCTCCCAGGGACATGCGTGAATCATCCCAACATGGAGAAACCCCTGAGAATAAATGCCACATAACAGGTTGCTCTTGCCCCTGCCACTGAGAACCAGAAAGGTATAGAGTCAGCGGAGGAGCAGCTGCTAAACAAGGACTCGGAGAACATGAGAATGCAGACTACACCCGAAGACTCAGAGGTGTAGTTGACCGGGGTCACAAGAGCCATTTGGAAGCTGGAAACCAGAAGGACCTTGCACAATACCTAGGGAGACTCCCTGGAGGCCATTCTTCCCTGACAGTACAGGCTGCGGTGCAGGAACGCGTGGAGCTCCAGAGAGGTCTACACTGAGATTAGTGCTGCCTATGCTCAGTGTTGGGGAGAGGACACTAAGTGGTTGTGGGGTCCCAATGCACTGGAGAGAAAAAGCTACAAAAAATGGCTTTCACCCAGATGGCTCACTTGAGATGTTAGTAAGAATTGCCTCCTCAGTATTCTATATCTGTGACGAGGAGGCGGCCAAGGAGAGAAAACAAAGAGACCGAGAAAAAGCAGCTGCTTTTGCTGCAGTGCTAAGAGAAATAGACCTTAGGTCTGATTCTTGGGGCCCCAAGAAGAACTCGACAACTACATTCATCTGCTACCACTGTTAAAAGCCAGGCCACCTCAAGAAGAACTGCCCTAAGAAGCCCCCTGGGCCACGCCCTGAATGCAAAGGTGACCACTGGAGATCGGTCTGCCCTCTGAAGTGGAGGCCCCAGAGCTCAGACCCATCCTACCAGTTAGTCTAACAGGAATGAGGGGGCCCGGGGCATACTCTGCCTTCTCCCTCTGGCCAGACTGTCATCTCCAGCGAGGAGTCCCGGGTAATCATGATTATAGAGGAAAAAGAAAATAACCTGTTACTAGACACAGGTGCAAGTTTCTCGGTCCTTCTTTTTAATCCTGGCCTTCCTTCCAGCTGTCACACCTCAGTGAAAGGAGTCACTGGTGAGGAGGTAATCTGCTATTTATCACAACTATTAGACTGTAACTACTTGTTAGATCCTTCTTGCATATCTCTGTCTTCCTGAGAAACCACTTTGAAGATACAACCATGTATTACAGCAGCCACTGATATTTTCCTACTAATCTGTCCATAACTCTGTAATGTTTGTATTGTTCCTATGCTATTTCGTTAATGGATGTATGTTTATTACTATGTGTTTCCTACCACAACCATTGAGAATAGTCAATGAATATTCAATTGGTCACTCATGTATAGCTCTATTTCTTTTCTTTAGAAACCACTTTGAAGATACCAATGTATAGTACAACAACCACTGATAATAACCTACCACTTTTGTCTGTAACTCACTATTATTTGCCTGTTTGTTTTCCTGAGAAACTACCTTGTAGATAACAATATGTAAAACAACAACCATTGATAATTTCCTACCACTTTGTCTGTAATTCAGTAAGCCCCCCTATTACTATGTTATCCTTCTTTTACTCTTTAAAATAAAAAAAAGAATAAATTCCCCTTGACCTAATCCTATATCAAAGGTACCATCTGTATTCCAGTAGGTCCTGACTGATACACTTCATAAAACATTTCACCTCTATAAAATTCTCTTCATGTAGGGGCCAACAGTCAAGCTATAACTCTTCCTATGGCCAATCCCTTAATAAAATAAAAATGATGCTTCAAATAGCAAATTTATTGAGCAAAATTTAACACATATAAACTCATTTGCCATTAGATTAATCCACTTAGCAAGGTACTATTATTACCCTCATTTTATAGATGAGAAAATAGCTCATAAAGATTAAGTAGCTTGATCAAGTACCCATAGGTAATAAGTGACAGAGATGGTATTTGAACCCAAGTTAATCTAGGACACTTAAAAAAAAAAAAAATCTAGGACACTTGCACTTGTGTTTAGCCACAACACTATATGCTAAAAAAACAAACAAACAAACGAAAAACACTACTTTATGCTCCAGACTTGTCCCATGGTGTTCATTTAGCAGTGCTAACAGGTTTTAGGCTGTCAGTCCAATCCTCTTTAAACTGATCTCCACAGTGCTGTCTACATGATCTTTTTGAAATGTGCATCTGATAGTGACATTCCTGGGTTTTAAAAAATCCCAGTCTCTTTATCATCTATAAAATAAAATTCAAATTGTTGTCATGGAATATATGAAGGTTCTCTCTACCTCTCTAGGTTCACTTCCTGCCATTACCTCCCAGTACTTTAAAAATTATAATTATAAACCCAGAACCTACTCTCCTTTCACAACTCTGCATTTATACAAGCTGTTTCCTCCGCTCAGGATGCTCTTTCCACTCTTGTCTACCTGGTCCCCTTACTTATCCTTCATGACCCAATTATATAGTCCTCTGCAAAATTCTGCCTGACCTAGTTCTACTTCCACACTTCCACAAATACACAACTACACTGACCTACAAAGAGATGTCAAACATGTTATCATGATGTTTTACAATTTTATTTCTATCTCAGGCCATAAACCTTGAAGTCACAGTTGAATCCACTTTCTCACAACCCAAATCTAATCCATTAGCAATTTCTGTGGATTCTACCTTCAAAAGATACCCAGAACAGAACTTATTTCATTACCTTTACTGCTACCATAGGAATCAACCCACATATCTCTCATCTGGACTATGATAGCTTCCACACTGGTCTCATAGATTCTGCTCTTAACATTCTCAGTCAGTTCTTGACACAGATACAGATTCAGTTAAAACAAAATAAAACAAAAGACTATGCCGTTCCTCTACCTAAAACCCTCTGATGGCTCCATCTCATTTTAAGAAAAGCCAAAATCCTACCAGGCCCTATCTGGTCTGTATTCTACCACCTGACATTTTTCCTCTTACTCTCCCTGTTCTTCCTCTGCTTCATCTTCAGTGTCTTAGCCCCTGCTATCCCTTCGGTCCCAAATAGTCATATGCTCATTACTCATACTCTGTAGATCTTTGCTGAACTATGACCTTCTAACCTAGCACCAAGACTGTTATCTCTCACTTTTTCCCCTAAAATGAACAAGGACTCTCTGGAGAAATGGCTGATTCCAATTCTGAGGCAGGAAGTATATAGGATGAGACTGAAACATTTTCTTATAGCAGAAAGCAAGATCACTACAATCACTAGGGTCATGTCAAAAGGATTTATAAGTCAACCTCAAGTAGATTCCACTAAACAAAGAAATAAAAATTTAAGCAATAAAATTAATAATTTCAGTGGATTGAAACACATCACGAGTTGATACCCACATGTTCATAATGATACTTAACAGAAATTACTGTTCACCTTTGAAACAAAATTATTATTCTGAAAACAAGTAATTATGGTATAAGGAGACTATCAACACTCAGCTGGTCTTTGCGGTACAAGCTATACTACAAGATAACCAAATGGCTCATGAGAGAAAGCTTAAAGGATTTTAGATGATGAATAAAATTGGTAGCATTTGGTGCTATCCGTTACTTTGCAACTACCTAATAAAGTAATAAATCTAAGCAAACACCTAATAAGGTAATGAATCTAAGCAATAATTACCAGTGACTGCTAATATCACAAAAGGAGCACACACTTTCATTATTTATAATGTGTCTTATAATGGAAGGCATATCACACCCTTTCAAGTGTTTTGCAAAGAAAAATA